CACTTAAGGGAGGTTCTAAGTGCACAACCCACAATCAAGAAAGGAAGAACGGAGGCCAGCAATGTCATCTTTTTTACAGACAGAGACTTGGCGAGGATATACTGCCCTCACAACGATGCGCAGGTCGTCACACTCCGCGTTAGTCGTCACACTCCGCGTCAAAGATTACGACATCAAGCGGACTTTGATAGACCAAGTTAGCTCGTGTGAGATAATGTACTATGACACCTTCAAACAACTGAAATTGGAGGACAAAGACTTGGCACCAACTGTATCCCTCCTGATCGAATTCAACTCAATGCCAGAGTGGCCAGTTGGCAAGATTATCCTTCCAGTCAGGACAGGAAACGTGACAAAACAAGTGAAATTTTGGGCATTGAAAGTCCCTTCCACTTACAACATAATCTTGGGAAGAACGTGGCTACATGCCATGCGAACGGTAGCTTCATCCTACCATCAAGTAATGCGATTCCCCAACGAAGTCAGGGTAGTTGAAGAGGTCTTTGGAGACCAAATTATGTCCAAGCAATGCTTTGTCACGGTTAATGGTAGCCGCGCTGCCAAGGGATATGTTCATTCGGTGGAAGAATCTGAAAGTAATGAACTGTTCGTAGATGTCGGCAAAGCAGCTGATCAAAAAGCAGTGGAAGACTTGGTAGAGGTAAGAATAGATGAAAAGAACCCGAATAAGTTCTTTTTGCTCGGTTCGTCGTTGTCCAGCACTGAGAGATTAGAGGTCTTGGAATTCTTGACCTCTAACATTGAAGTGTTCGCCTGGACGCCCTACGACATGCCAGGCATTAATCCAAACTTCATCTGTCACCAACTCAATGTCCACCCATCCACCAAACCAATCATTCAGCGCACTCGCAGATCGGCACTCCACCATGGCGAGATAGTGGCAGAAGAAGTGGGAAATCTACTAGAGGCAGGAGCTATCAGAGAGGTGCACTACCCCAGATAGATTTCCAACACAGTCGTGGTGCCAAAGAAGAATGGCAAATGGCGTGTCTGTGTCGACTATAAGACAGTCAACAAAGCATGCCCAAAGGACAGCTTCCCCCTACCGCGGATAGATCAACTGGTAGACCTAACGGCGAGGCACAACCAACTTAGCTTTCTTGATGCGTACAAAGGCTACCATCAGATCGCCATGTACGAACCAGACCAGGAGGTCACGTCCTTTACAACTCAAAGAGGACTGTATTGCTATAAGGTCATGCCCTTTGGCCTAAAGAACGCAGGGGCAACATTTCAAAGAATAATCACTAAGATGTTTGAGTCGTTGTTAGGCAGAACAATGGAGGCTTATATCGACGACATGGTGGTTAAGAGCAAGGATGAGAACGACCATCTAAGGGACCGAGGTGAGATGTTCCAGATTCTGAAAAGGCACAAGTTGCGCCTTAATGCATCTAAGTGCGCGTTCAGTGCAGGATCTGGCAAATTCCTGAGCTTCCTAGTAACCAACCGGGGTATAGAGGCAGACCCCTCCCAGATCAAAGCTATTCAGGATCTGGAGAGGCCTAACTCAGTAAAAGAAATGCAGCATCTCACCGGCATGGCAGCTGCACTCAACCGATTCATTAGCCGGTCGTCAGACAGACTACAACTATTTTTTCAAGCATTAAAAGCCAAGTTTGAGTAGGACGAAGAATGCGACCGTGCTCTGAAAAACTTGAAAAAATACATGTCTTCTCCACCACTACTTGTCACCCCAATACTTGGAGAAGAACTCTTCCTGTACTTGGCAGTCTCTCAGCACGCAATTAGCGCAGTGTTGGTCCGAGCGGAAGGACTCCAACATCTGCCCATCTTCTATGTCAGCAAGACATTACTGGGCGCCGAAGCAAGGTACTTACCACTGGAAAAACTGGCCTTGACCTTGATAATGGCCTCAAGGAAGTTGTCGCACTACTTTCACGCCCACATCATAGTCGTCCTCATAGCTTTCCCATTAAAAGTTTTGTTTGAGAGGGCGAACTTTTCTGAGCGAATCTGGAAGTGGGCAGTAGAGTTGGGACAATTCGACATCAAGTTCCAACCCAGAACCGCGATAAAGGCCCAAGCCTTGGCAAACTTTGTCGCAGAATTTACCCCAAGAAGTCATTATATCTGCCCAGTCGACCTGACTGACGCAACCGAATTAGGGATGGAAGTTGACGCCGGAATAGCGCAACCCCTGGTGCAGGATACTCAGTCAGATCCCAAGGCAGACCAAAATAAAGAAAGCAAGACAGAAGCGAACCATACTACACCAAGCCAAGACTCACCAACAAATAAAGACTTGATTCAATCAGATAGCGAGGGGCAGACAGCAAGCATGGCCCTTAAAGAAAACACCAGCAACATTCTTGACCCCACGGCATCATCTGATCCCTCCACTTGCTGAAAATTGTTCGTTGGAGAGATGTGTAAGCTCTTTGTGGACGGAGCATCCAACCGGCATGGTGCAGGACTTGGCATAGTCCTCATCTCACCGGACGGCCTGGTTATGGAGCAAGCAGTCAACCTTGGCTTCCCAACATCAAACAACGAAGCGAAGTATGAAGCGCTTCTTGCAAGTCTCAAATCAGCATTCTATATGAAGGCCACCGAGCTAATGGTCTACAGCGACTCACAGCTGGTGGTAAACCAAATTTCTGGCGACTACGAAGCAAAGGATGACAGGATGGCCAAGTACCAAGAATTGGTCAGAACAGAGATCAAGAAATTTGAAGTAGTAAGGATAGAACAGATTGGCAGGGAGGAAAACAACAGAGCAAACGAACTAGCAGGCTTTGCTTCAATGGCAGATACATCCATCCCTCATCCATTACTAATTGACTACCTACCAAGACCAAGCATTGAAGACCCCAAAGCAGAAGAGGTATGTTGCGCCGAACTAGGCCCCTCATGGATGGATCCCATCATACTATTCTTAAAAGACGGCGTCTTACCAGAAGAAAAGAAAGCAGCCAACAAAATTAGAATAAAGTCGCAGCGATTTTGGCTCTCCCCATATATGGCATTGTACAAAAAGTCATTCTCAAGACCTTATCTAAAGTGTGTCCACCCCAGTAAAGTGGAAGCGTTCTTGTTTGAGATACACGAAGGCGTGTGCAGAAGCCACCAAGGAGGAAGATCGTTAGCCTACAGAGTCATTTCACAAGGATACTAGTGGCCATACATGCAAGCAGACTCGGAGAAGTATGTGAAGAAGTGCGAGAAATGTCAGAAGTTCGCACACCAAATACATCAGCCAGCCAGAGAGCTCCCACCATTGACCAGCCCATGGCCCTTCGCAATGTGGGGCTTGGACATAGTAGGACCACTTCCAACAGCACCCGAAAACAAGAAGTTCTTTCTTGCAGCAACAGACTACTTCACAAAGTGGGTGGAAGCAGAAGCATTGGCATCAATCAAGGAAAAAGATGTGAAGAAGTTCGTCTGGCAGAATATCATCACTCGGTTCGGCATACCTAAAGCCCTAATATCAAATAACGGCACTCAGTTTGATGGCAGAATCTTTAGAGGCTTTTGTGAAAAATACAAGATAGAGTTCTACAATTCTACACCGGCATATCCCCAAGCAAATGGCCAAGCAGAAGCATCAAACAAGGTTGTCTTGGATGGATTAAAGAAGAGGTTAAAAAAAGCAAAAAGTAAGTGGGCTGAGGAACTGCCGCATGTTCTGTGGGCTTACCGTACCACACCTCGGCGATCAACTGGAGAGACACCATTCTCTTTAGCCTATGGCATGGAGGCAGTAATCCCACTGGAAGTTGGCCTCCCTACAATTAGAAGCGAAAATTTTGATCCAGACTTGAATGGAGAAGCCATAGCATTGGAGCTCGACCTCGCCGAAGAAAGAAGAGAAAGAGCACTGGTTCACATTGTCTCGTACCAACAAGAGTTGTCCAAAAAGGATAACAAAACAGTGGCCTTGTTGGGTTTGTATTTGAGAAACATGTTTTGAGATAAAAAACACGAAAATTTGTTCGGTTTGGTTTTTTTTCAAAAGATGTTTTGAAAAATTATTTTGTGAGAGAGTTTTGAAAAAAGTGATTGATTTGATGTGTATGAGAGATAGATTTGTTTGGAAAATTTGTAAACCAAACAAGTTTTGAAAAAAAAAATTTGAGAAAATTTGTTTGGTTTGATTACTTTTGAAAACTTATTTGTAGAGAATTTTTCCCAAAATTTTTTGAGAAACACAAACCAAACAAGGCCAGTACATCCAAGACAATTCAAAATCGGAGATTGGGTACTGCGCAAAGTGATGGGAAACACCGTGGTACCAAGAGATGGCAAGTTAGGGCCTAATTGGGAAGGACCTTACAAAGTGATCGGATTAGCTGGCAAAAGGGCATACCACTTAGAAGATGAGGACGGCAAAGTAATTCCCAGGCCATGGAACACTGCCAATCTCAAACTATTTTATTTTTAGCCTTTCAGTACTTGTAATTTTTCTCTTCTCGCAATAAAACAAGTACTTTCTTTTTAAGCATAATTATTTTATTCTGTAAAAATTGTTTTAGTAAGCTAGGGGCAACAAAAACAAAGTTGGCCGGAATAACCAGCTTTGTCCTCTCCTAAGCCCATGATAAGGATTCAGGCTGCAGGACGTTTGGTCGGTATAACCAAACACTTTACTCTAGGTTGGTAGGAAAAACCAATCTAGAGGTTGGCTTGAAAAACTAACACCCCTCCTAAGCCTAGGATAAGGATCCAGGCTGCAGGACGTTTGGTCGGAATAACCAAACATTTATTCTAAATTGCAGGAATAACCAATTCAGAGGTTGGCTGGATAAACCAACTCTTTGTACTCTTTCAAGCCGAGTAATCGGCTAAAGAGTGGTTGGCTGGATTAAACCAACTCTTGGTACTCTTCAGCCGAGGTAAGTATCTCGGCTAAAGAGTGGTTGGCTGGACTAAACCAACTCTTGGTACTCTTTAACCAAGGTAAGTATCTCGGCTAAGGAGTGGTTGGCAGGTATACTTATAGTTGTAACGATTATCACCGGGATAAAGTATCTCGGCAAGAGAATGCTGTACCGCATCCAAGACTTCAGCTAGAAAGTAAAGTATAAGCATAGAGATCAACCGAAATAAGAGTTGGAACAAAAAAGCAGACTTCATTAAAAATTCAAAGCAAGTACAAAGGATGGGGCCTCAGCCTGGTTACAATCTGTGTCCAAAAGCAAAGAAAAGAAAATACAGAAATCAAGCAAAAAGAAGAGAAATGAAAGTCAGGCAAACAGATCATCAAGATCCGCATCAAGTTCAACTCGCAGCCCGATTTCAGTTGGAAGCTCGGTTTCGGTCGGGAGTATGGTCTCGATTGGAAGCACGGTTTCAGTTGGTAGTTCGAAAGTCAGGTCTTCCACCGTTGGCTCCGACCGAGCCGACTGACAGGCGGGATCATTGACAACCGAGGTATCATTGGGCACGGTTTCTTCATCATCTAAATCTTCAAGAAACCGCTGCTGAGTGGTAGCAACATACTCCGCCAGTGAGCTCGGTATGAAGTATTGAGGAGGATTGAAGACCTCGGTCTCAGGCCCATGACCGAGCTGCACCACAGCACCCCTCCACCCGCATTTAAAGAAGAGATCCTTTGCAGCTTCACACTGCTTGATGTATAGGGCTTCACCCTCTTTAAAGCCCCGGTCCTCTGCAGCCTCCAGCTTCTTCTCAAGCTCCGTTATTTCGGCTTTCTTTTTTCCTTCAAGCTTGGCTAGCTCACGCAGGTATTTTTCTTTCATCACGGCCAGAGCCTTTTGTTTATCAGTATTAGTTGAGGTAACTAGTCCGGTTAGACGGGTCACCTCGGCCTCTAGCTCGGCCGTCTTCTGTTGACATTCTTTCAGCTCGACCGATTTGGCATCCGCTTCTGCCATGGCCTGCCTTATTCTTTTCTTAAGTTCCAACACTCGCCTGTGCGCAATGTGGTTTTTCTGTATAGCCTGCAAAAGGATAGAGAGTAACCTTTTAAACCGAGTAGACAGTTGAGAAAATCAAAAAAATTAAAGAAAAAAGGGCAACTTACCAGCACCATGGATTTTGTGGACGAGCGAAGGGCCTTTAGCTCGGTCAGGTGGTTGTGGTGCCTCATGTCGGCTGGAAGGCAAACACCTTTAGCCAGGTTGAATGCCATCAGGTGGTCTTTCTCTGCGACCACTGAGTCAGAATCCGTGATAGCACGGTTCTGAAAGGTGATTTTTGGAGCCCACTTAGAAGAGCTAGCTCGGTCTGAACGCTCCGGCTGTGGGCTCGGTGGAGGAGTTGGTAGAGTGGTTTGGGGAACCACGGTTTCGTCTTCATCAACCAGACGTTGCTCGGTTGGAGTAGTCCGGGCACGCTTCCTTTGGCGGGATGATGAGGGTTGATGAGATGGAAGGGCCACCACGGTCTCCTAAGGCTGACCGGCTGGAGGTACCTCAGTTGGGTTTGTTTCGGTAAGAAGGGCTCGCACGGCTCTCTTCTTGGCCATTTCTTGTTCGGCAGTAAGTAGGATAAGGTTGATTTGAGGCAAGGATGGGTCCGGTTCAGGAGAGGCTTCTAGCAAAAAGTCAGTTACCCTGGTCCTTCGTTTTCCACTGTATCGGTAGGTCGGCTCAAAATTTAGCAGGTCAGTCCAACTCCGGTCTGGATATCGCAGCGCGGCGCGAAGCACGTTCAAGTTGGGGTAGCTATATTAGGACTTAAGAAAGTTCCTATCTGCAAAAAAGAAGACAACATTTAGTTCGGTTCACAATCAAAAAACCGAAATAACAAGAAGAATGCAGTAAAGCCGAGGTAACCCTACCGACTACACCCTTGTTCCAGTTTATTCTGTGGCCTGGGATCTGGGCTTGATGGTCTTCAAAATTCCCAGATACCCAGAAAAAATCATCGTTCAAGTCTTTGTCCGATGTGTCCTTTATTATTTTTTCACGTCAGCGCTTTATTCGTAAGTAGTAAACCCAGCCATCTTCGGCTGATCCTATGGAATACTGGTGGAAGAGCTCGGCGAGACAGAGGTTAAGGCCAGCCCGGCGGTTTAGCTCGGCTATTCCGTTTATTATGCGATAAGAATTGGTGGAAAGTTGGGTAGGGCAGAGTTTGGTTTGCCTGAGGAATTCACAAAGTAAGGGCTGTACAGGGAAGCGTAGACCGCACTCCACAATGGTAATAACATTAAAAGGGACAAAGCCCTATTTGCCCCAAGGAACGGTTTCTAGGTCGGCTAAGGTGAGGTGAACATCGTCGGGGATGTTATAATCTTTTCGGAATTCAGCCATACCACCATGTGTTAACTAAATACCTATACTTTCCCATTTATGGTTTAAGTTATGAATAAATTATACTTGGGTGTTAGCTCGGTCGGAGAATGGTGCCGAGTAGCTCGATTGAGCGCTCAAAAGAGTGTCTGAGCAACCTAAGTCTGCAAAGTGAAAACCAAAGGTTAAGCACAGATCGTTGGACCGTGCTAAAAGAAACACAGGCAAGATAAATAAAGCCCTAGCTCGGCTATGTGAATTGCTTCATGCCTTAGCTCGGTTTGAGCAAGGGATCAGTTAGCTCGGTTTAAGCGAAGGTTTGCTAGCTCGGTTTGAGCAAGGGATTTGTTAATCCGGCTGAGCCTATAGGGGCAGCATTCTTAGTTCGGTTTGAACTAAGAAGGCTGGTTTAGCCCCGAGTTGAAGCTCGGTCATGGTCGAGGCTTTCAAGCATACTATTACAAACGTAGCACGGATCAATTAGCCCAAGCTAAGATAAATGAAACAAAAGATGGTTCGACATGATGAAACTACTAGTTTAGCATGAAGTGCTAGTCCGGTTGATAGTCTGGCTAGATTGACATCAACTACAAACAACTTCCTAGTTCGGTTATATTGTGATTTTGGATCAAATACAGTGTTCTACAGATTGCTTAGTGAAATACAAGTGGTTCTTATAAGGTTTTTCCCAGAAAACGCAAGGAAAAGCAAAAATGTGTTTTGCAAAAGGCATATAAACAATATGCTGTGGATTGAAAACAATACAGTGTAAAAAGAGAACAGATTTGTATTACTTACCAGGTTAAGAGGAAGGAAATGGAAGTAGAGAGCAGCAAGGACCACAAGCTTCACAGTTGCAAAGTTGAAGAACAATGGAGGCTCGAAGAGAGAGAGAGAAAAGGAGGTGAATAGCGGTGTGAATGATTCAAAAAAAAAAAAAAATAGCCAAGGGTTGTTTTGTGGAAAGAGAAGGGGCAAAAGACGGGAACTGTTCAAATTATGCGAAGTACGAGGGCGGCGTGACAGCTGCGATAGGCCAGTAAGGGCGTGCCACGTGTCCTGGGAAGGAGAAGCGATTCAGTTGCTGTGATTAAATAGACGTTTTGACCGGACAGCTAGAGCCCGGTGTGAATTTAGCTCGGCAGGAAAGGCTAAAAGAGTTTTAGCTCGGCTGGAAAAGCTTAAAAGCTTAGCTCGGTAACAAGATTAAAGTTTTTAGCTCGGCTGGTAGGCAAGGAAATCCCTATCATGCTGCGCAGATGGAATTAAGAGGCAATTGAGAGGGTAATTTATATGAAAATTGGGCCGAGCTAGGTAATGGGCCGTTATGGGCCACAGTACGAAAGGCTGAGTAAAAAGGCCATAAAATTACTCCGGTCCAAAAGAGGCTTGAAGTTGCTCCGGTGCCCAAAAGCTTACGGTAAGCTCAGTCATCACACACAAAGTTATCCTGGTCAGGACCACGTTATTCGTTATCCCGGTCGAGACATACCATGGTTAGCACTGGGAGAAACCGGGGTAAGAGCAGTGAATGGAAGAGCCGAGCTAAAGTTAGCTCGGTCTAGTCTGCGGCTTAGCATAGCCATGCTTACCTCGGTCATATTGGAGTCCGACCATGGTAAAACCATCTCACTTGGTTTAAGCAGTGAGGAGGGTGTTAAAGGATAAGCATTATCTTTCAGGAGTATGACTCCTAGGAAGACTCTACATGAAGGAGTAAGAGTCCTACTAGGATTATGCCACACGGAACCTATAAAAGCTCACAGCATCACCTATGGAGAGGTAACACAACTTTGATTCTCGAATTCACAGAGCTTTTTGTCTACTTGTCTACTTGGCTGACTTAGACATCGGAGAGGTATCCGGCACACACCCGCCAGCTAGCTCACGTTTGTGCTTTCAGGGAGTAAAACGATGACATACGGAGGAGCGCAATCTTGATCAACAGGATTATACGAGAAAGTTTATTTCTTTCCCGTACAATATATATATATATATATATATGTGTATATTATGCATATATAAATAAAATTAATTCAAAAATTTTGGAGTGGCTTTATTTAAATATATTAAATTTGATGACTTACATTGCTACACAAAAATATAATAGAATCTCATTAGAAAATTCATCACTGATACAAAATATCATTAATTCTTAATCATCTAATCAAATAAAAAGACTTGACAATATATAACTTTATTCATTATATGTAAAATTAAAATATATATATATATATATTATTTATCTATTTATTTTTAAATTTTATTTATTTACTTTAATATCAAATTTTATACAAACTAATTTTTTCTTACAAAAAAAATAATTTATTTTATGTATGTTTAAGTTGAGAAAATAAGAATATTCAAAAAAAAATAGAAAAAAAAAAAAAGAATATATATATATATATATATATATATTATTTATCTATTTATTTTTAAATTTTATTTATTTACTTTAATATCAAATTTTATTTACAAACTAATTTTTTCTTACAAAAAAAATAATTTATTTTATGTATGTTTAAGTTGAGAAAATAAGAATATTCAAAAAAAAATAGAAAAAAAAAAAAAGAAAAAAGAGGAAAGGAAAAAAAAAAGGGTTTTTTTTTGTTAATATATATATATACGTATAATAAGGAATTAGGGACATCAAACGAATAGAACAGAGGAGAGAAGAGGAGAGAGAGAGAGAGAGACGATTGCTCAGAAAGAAGAGAGAGAGACCATCGCGCAGAGTCGATGAGTTCAACACAAGCAAGAGACAAAGTCAAAAGCGAGAGAGAGACGATCGCGCAGACTCATGGAGATGAACAGAAGAAGAAAAATAAAGAACGAAGAAGAATAACAGATTAGGGCTTCAACAGGTCCTTCTTCACCCTTTCTCTTTCTATTTCTCTCTATGTGCCTATCTTTTAGGGTTTTTATCTCTCTGTATTCGAGTTAGGGTTTCTCTCTGCGTATTCTGCGAGTTCGGGTGTATCTCTCTGTTTTGCTTTTCTTTTCCACCAACGATCCCTTCTTGGAAAGGATCATGTTTCTCTCTCTAAAGAAACGCGATTCTTACACGTTTCTTTCTAAGAAACGCGGAATTGCGCTTCCTACGAAGATTCGTCACTTGGTTGCATGAATCTTTGCAAATAAGCCCCACATTCTTGGCCCTTACTCAATAACAAAGATCTACATATAAAAAGTGAAAGAAATTAATAAGAAATCAATGTGGGACAAGGAGCAAAATGAAAAAATAATAATAATAATAATTAAAGCTTTTTTTTATATCATTTCCTTTCAATTTTAACTCGAACCATTGAAATTTATATTTTATTAATATGTCCAGTTATGACAAAAAAGACACAAGATTATTACAAACGAACTACGAAAAAAAATCAAACTTTTTGATTGGTGAATTAGTGACATTAGTTATTCTCATTGCCTAATATATAAAATATTGATATTTAACCAATCAATCTTCTAGGACAAGGGAATGGACTATTTTCAAGTGTAGCTATAAAACATAAACCCGTAAATCATGTATCTTCACTAGGGCATCATAAAATCAAAATTAAAAATTTTGGATCATCATCAATACATACCTAAACTGGTTAATGTGTTAATATTTGGGTAGGACTAATTATGGGCATAAAAAACAATCAAAAGAAAGTTTACATTAAGGCGAAAGATAGGCCATTTACATATGTGTGTACGCATCATCGTTTAACCAAAGGTCAATTTCATTTTCTATCCCCTAAATTATTTTAACTTTGATTTTTAATTTTTATTATTACTATTTTTCTAAACTTTTGGTTCTCCCGTTATGTAATTCTATCCAATTTAGACCAATAACTAATGTTTTATCTCAAATTAGATAGAAAAATGTCATGCCAATATCATGCGATATCAATTTGTGACATGTGATATCTTATTCGACTCAAACTTAAGGACAACCATAGAATTAAAATTAGTAATTTCTCACATTAACCTTTTAAGTATTGCTATATTTTTTGTCACATTGATACTTAAAATATTATATTTTTTTGTTATTACACCATAAATTCGACAGGCGTGATAAAGACGTGAAAGTTTCAAATAATTTTAGATGGACATTAGTTGTTGATGCAAATTGAAAATAATTACACTCTTTAAAGATTAAAGTGAGGAAAAAAAATAAGAGGCAAATAATCGAATCAAGGATTTGATCAAACAAATTTCTTGAATTATAAATCACTCAAATCTCTTGACTTATGAAATAGCTAGTTAATTCCCTAATCATAGTTAATTACAAAAAGAAATTCCTAAAGCCTTCTCTTGCCTAAACTTCTCTCCGTGGATCATAGATTCCGGTGCCTCCGATCACATGACTAGTTTTTCCCATTTATTTTCTTTTTCTTTAGAAATATATTCCTTCTTCCTCATATTTTTCGGAGTTCTTCTTCTTCATATTTTCTAAGTCTATATTTTTTG